CAGTAAAGTCCAGCTGACATTCCTTAGCCCATCCTCTTCAGTGTTGCAGAATGTAATAAATGTACTGTATCTTGTACTCTTCAACTGATCAATAATCCTTGCATTTGATATTCACATCGGGAAAACGTTTCAAAGCACTTCACAGGATTTACTGTAAAGTACAGTGACTGGGTATCTTGTATGCAGATTTTCTCTCATGAGCAAATTTTAGAATATTATGAGAATAATTTTCTCCATATCATTTTTGAATAGTATAAACAGCTGAGGACACAAAACAGTGCCTAGTGGAAGCTACTGGCCACTCACTGCCAGTTAGAGCTATTTCCATTTACCGCCAAGTTCTGATATCTATTCCTTCATCAGTTGTTAAGCCACTACGCCCCAACGTTTTGAAACCTTCTCCCCCAATCTTTCTGCCTTACCTCCTCCTTCCCCTCTTTTAGATCACAACTGAAAACCTTCCTCCACGACCGTGCTTACAGCAACCTCCTCCCTCCCCCTGCTCGGCATCAGGCTGTGAGATGCTGTCCCACATGAAGAGCACTATATAAATGCAAATCGTTGTTAATCCAATTAGCGAGTACTGTATGTCATTAATACAACAAATCCTTAGATTCTTTATGAACTCCATATAAAGAGCAGTTTTCTTTTAGCATGACAATAAAAGATTTATGAACGTTTGAAACGATAAATACAACATATGGATGAATACCAGGTAAAGTTAAGGAAATAAAAAAACATTGAACATCGAGAAAATGCTTTTTGCATTCGCGAGGTGGAGGAACTGTGGGATGGAGTTCCAGAGGGTGGGGGCGGAGGGGCTGAAGGCCCGCCCAGCAATGGTGTGGTGGGCAAGGCGGGGGACATGAAGCAGGCCGGAGCCCGCTGAGCGGGGGGAGAGGACAGTTTGGTAACAGTGGGCAGGGAGGAGCAAGACCGTGGAGGGCTTTGAAGATGAAAACTACTCGTCAACTTCTTACACAGAGCAAGCAAAAGCTATATTATATGGACTCCATCACCCACTCTATCTCCTGGGGAAACGTTCTGGATAAATATTCCCTGACGGCCCAGGGAAATTAAGTACAACTCCCATAAAATCCATCTGTCTTCAGTATTCAATCCTGATCTACTTCTCTCCAAGAGCAACATCTCCCCTTCATCCAAGGCCTCAGCAGCACAAAAACATTTTGTCCTTTGGAATATAATGTGGAATAAACCAAGGTCCTGTCTGCCTGTTCAGGTGGATGTTAAAGATCCCATGGCACTGTTCGAAAAGAGTTTCTCCCCACCTCCTGGCCAACAACCCCCCAAATAAAATCAATCACTCACTGCTTGGTTGTTTGTGGGATACTGCTGTGCACAATTGGCTGCTGCGTTTCACCCACAAAATACGCAGTCAATCCACTTTACAGTATATCCTGTGAAGCGCATTGAGACATCTTGAAGACGTGATAAGGCACTGTATCAAATGCAAGGATTATTATATTTAGTCATCTAAGTCTGCACTAGCCTGTAACTCCAACATTGCTGCCAAACGATTAATTTTAATTCATAAAAGTTGCCATTTTGTACCCAAACAACTTGTTGCTATAATGGGAAGACACTAGGCTGGGTATTCTGGAACAACGGGACCAAATGGGCTGAACAGCCATCTTCACCTGAACATTTCTTGTGATCTTGTAACTTTTGTATTACATTGGCTTATGTTGGCAAACTGAAAGACATGAGGAAGTACATTCTTCACAAAACAGAACAGAAATTCCAAATCAGTAACCATCAGGGCCTCAACAAAGTGATTAAGGAGCGCGGACCAATACATGTTAAGCTCACAATGTCCAGATGAAGAAGTCTCTTTGGGGGAGAACACTGAATTGTTGGGGGTGCCATCCTTCAAGATTTTTGCCAGGAAGAGTGGTTGAGGCGAGAACACCGATGCTTTAAAAAGCAGCTTTTTGCAGGTGATGGGAGGATGGTATGATTGGTATTCTGAAGGGATCAGATCAGATGATCTGAAAAGCTTTCTTCATCCAAACCATGTGATCTTGTAAACGTAGTCCAGCGTTGAGTTCCTGGCCTTGTTTATTACTGTACTGCCTCACACTATTTTGACATGAGCAACAATACAAACTCCCAGGTCTCAAAGATGACAAGAGGTACTTCCAGGTGTATATTCCTGAGGCAAGTATATCACCTCCAATTTTCTCTCCCCCAAAATTACTGACTTAATGCTGATTGAAACAACAACAACAACTTGCACTTATACAGGGCCCTTCCCGCCAGATGGCGTCTCAGAACGCTTACCAGCTTTTCTGTGGCACAGCATTTGAGGACTGATAATATGGCTGAGGAGCAATGCTCCTTGTGGTAGATGTTATGGGTTAGGCTGCCTTAAAGGAGCATTCCAATCCACAAAAATGTTAACTTCGTGGAAGTCAGTGGAGCCAAATTGTGTCAACTAATTTAAGAGGGAATCAGACAGCTATTTGAAAGGTAAATACGTCAAAGACTTGAGCGTTGGAGCACCAAGAATCCTTTATTTACTTCAAGGCAGGCCAACTACACCAAAGCAATCCATTCTGGTTTTACACATTCCTGTGGTCCTAAGAAAGGCTATTTGAAACATAATTTTGCAGCTTGTGGTTTTATTCAAATAAGAATGCTACATTCACGTGTGTTTGTGAAATTACACTGGATCTTTCCATTTGTGAGTTTATGGTTTCAACTGTGAAATATGTTGGATATTTGTTTGTGTACAAATTACCTCCATAAGAGCATGGTTCCTGAGCATTCTCTGTATAATACTCTCTCCCACAGGAAATGTTTCTGTTTAGCTTTGTGCCCATGGGAAAATTCCCATTAATAGTTAAAAGGCCAACAGTTGACAAAACAGTTGACTTGTTAATAAGAACATAAAATGCGAAGCATAAATCATAGAATGTTACAGCACAAAAAAGGCCAATCTGCCCACCTAGGCTGCATGGGGGTGTTTTTTCCCTCCCTCATACACCATTTACATATATTTACATTGAATGTACAGCATGGAGCCATGCCATTCAGCCCAACTAGTCCATACCAGTATTTATATTCCAAATAAATCTCCACTCATTCCTTACTCCCTCCCATACATTTCTATTCCCTTCTCCCTCATGTGTATATCTAGCTTCCTTTAAATGCATCTATGCTATCTGAATCAATCACGGCTTCAGGCAGCACGTTCCATATTCCCACTACTCTCTGTGTGAAGTAGTTCCTCCTAAATATTCTGTTAAATGCCTAGTCGCTATTTTATATTTGTGTCCCCTGGTTAATCTAATCCCATTCTCTTGTGTGCTTCTCATACCTTTGAACATTTTTCATTTATTGTCAGGTGAGGTGTTAAATCAAGGTCAATTTGCCTGGTTCAGGTGGATGTTAAAGATTCCTTAGCACTACTTGAAAAGAAAAGGGAGTTTCTCCTGCTGCCCTGGTCAACAATACCCCAAATAGAATTGATTTTTCACTTCATGGCTCTTTTGTGAGACATTGCTGTGCACAAATTGGCTGCTGCATTCGCAGTTGCTGCAAAATAGACAGTCAGTGCACTTTACAGTCAATCTTCTGAAGCATTTTAAGACATCATCCCAATGTGAAATATCAAATGCAGAGATTATTTATTATTGTTATTTAATCACCTATCTACTTCTCCTGACACATCTTGTGGCAGAAACATCCACATTCTAATCTATCCTCCCTGTTAATTCCTTTTGTGATTATCTTTAGTGGAGTCCTGGAGCTCAGTGGTTAGAGCACTCGCCTCACAAACAAGAGGCCTAGGTATGATTCCTAGGCAGGGTGGAAACATTGGCCAAGTTTCCTTACTCCATACACCTCTATGTATATATACTCTATGTATATATACTCTAGCAGTAAGTAGAAACCCGGTTGTTAGTCGATTGGCGAAACACTTTTCTGGGGATAATAATTCCTTCAAAAAAAAACAATAATAATAATTTGGTCATTCAATCCACGACCGTTTACGGGACATTGCTGTGCACAATTGGCTGCCGTGTTTTACATTCAATTTACTTTGCATTACATTATGAAATGTTGATTCATTCAAGCACATAGTTTTCTTTTAGGAAATAACATTATGGGATATAGTACACAGGTAAAACAACAAAGGGTTCTGACGAAGGGTCGTGGATCCAAAACTTTGACTCGCTTTCCTTTCTCAATAGATGCTGCCTGACCTGCTGAGTGTTCCCAGAGACTTCTGTTTTTGTTTATATACATAGGTAGTTTGGACATATGTGCATGCGACCGCCAGGAAGGTGGAAGGTGAACTAGATGGACCTTGGTCTTTTTTCGTGTAGTATTTCTTATGTTCTTATATACAGTCAATCCACTTTACAGTATATTCTGTGAAGCACTTTGAGACATCTAGAAGACGTGATAAGGCACTGTATCAAATGCAAGGATTCTTATTGTAAGATTCTGTAATTAATGTGTTAAATAATATCTCAAATTATATTTGCGCTGCTTATATATTTGAGGCATATGATCAATCTCACATGATGGGAGCTGGTTGTGACTAGCTTCGCAGAAGAAACAAAAGACTATTTATAAACAACAAACTGTTTTCAGCTCTTAGCAGTCATTTTCTCATGGAAAAATGGTCTGCAGCTGGGGAGAGAGCTGAGTTGTATGTTTTACAAAGGAACCATCTTGAAAAAGACAATAGATGAAAGGTCGCCTAACGAATTGTATAAATGGAGATCGATTCAGAAGAGAATCAGAAGAAAGAATTGAAGAAGGAGAGGGATCAATCGGACGTGCCATAATACCTGGATACTTTTGAGTGATTGAATTGAACATACAAGAATTCCTCGATAATTTTGGGTAATCGAACTGAGAAACATACAACAATACTTGGATACCTTTTGATGGATATATATATATATTTGGATTAAAAAAGAAACATTAAAATGGACATTAAATTGGACATTGCTCCTCTATCCCTTCTGCAGCATTTGGTTAGGTCAACTTAAATCGTTGTGAACTACACATGGATACGTAAGTATTATTTTGATGTATTCTTTTAATTACTTAAAACTATTACTAATCTGAATTAATAAACATCTATATTTTTGTACAACATTTGGGTCAGTCCTGACTTTATTGCTGGGTCACGAATTTAAATTAACCCTTACATTATCTTAGATTTATGCCCTCTGGTTACTGACTCACTGAACAATGGAAGTTATCTATTTACGATTTTAACCCATCACGGAGTCCATCCTTTCACAGTCCATGCAAAACCTAGCGTATCATGGACTTCAAACCCCTCAATCTATCCCCTGAGGGAAAGTTCTGCCAAAGCACTCTGAGACGCAAATGTGGAACACAACTACTCTGTTTACCTGGCAGTATGTAAGAACCCGATTGTAGCAGTAAGTAGGAACCCAGTTGTCGGTCGATTGGCGGATCGCTTTTCCATAGGGCAATAATCCCTTCAAAAAATAAATGAATAATAATAATTTGGTCACTTAATCCATGACTTTTGTGGGACACTGCTGTGCGCAATTGTCTCTGCCCCTACACTCTGGAACTCCATCCCACGGTCCCTTCGCCTCGCTTCCTCCCTTGCCTCTTTCAAGGCTGGTCTCAAGACCCTTCTCTTCGATCGTGCCTTTGGTCGCCCTCTCACCTCTCTGCTTCCCTCACCCCTACACTCCCCCTCCCCCATACTCAGACCCCGACACCTGACTGTTCAACGCTTTGGGACGTACTCCAACGTGAAAGGCGCTCTATAAAAGTAATTTTGTTGTTGTTGTTGTTGAGCTGTATGGGAAAAACCCTTGCCCCCAGTGACTGGCTTACCTCTCCAACTATTACCATTGAGCAAGGCTGGTTGGTCTGGGCTGTCATCAGCAGTTCCCTGGAACACTGCGGAATTGCCTGGCTCAGGAATTGAACCACTATCGTTCTGAGGCGCAGCCCTGAGTGAAGAGTGCTTTACAAATCCAAATTGTTGTTGAAGTTGTTGTTGGATCGAGACCACCACAGAGGGTTGACTCAATTCTGATATCCAAGCATGTCACCTTCGAGCCAGCGCAACTCCAAAAGGACCCCTCTTCGACCCCTCAAGGAGGATAGTCACCAGGTGGTCATCCGACATCTGAGAAGGGCAGGTTTGAGCCCTCACTAGGTGGATGGCAGGTACCAGCAACTCACTGCCAGCTTCCTGGTGGGCAGCACACCTCTGCATGAAATGTGTGAGAGCATTGCCACCAATTTCCTGCCCACAGCTCAGACAGACACACCAGCTGTTTCAGCCCTTAGAGACGAGAGACTTTCATTCCATCAGCCTGGGCTGAATTCCAATCAGGTCACAGATGTGTGAGTGCCACGTGGCAACCCACTGAACTGATAATGTTTTAATTAAACACAGCTAGTGAATTTAAAACCACAGAATTGCTTCGGGTTTGTTTTGAGCAATACTAATATCACTTGCATCTTGTAGTTTCATCCTCTTCTACTGTTGATGACATTAAAACAGAACCCATGATCTAGCGGAAGGTAAATCATTCTTATTAAATTCTTCAATTCCATAGAAAGCGATTAATTTCGGCCACTCAGTGAATCTAAACTCACATTGGACTCAATAATAAAGAAATGATTCTACGCAATCACTCTGCTTGGCCTGTTTTTGTGTTTTCAGATTATTGTGAGAACCAAGATTACATTGCAATAATGACCGAAAAAAAATTTCTGGGACATTTGTCAGGCCCACAGCAATAAGCGATTCCTCAGACCGAGACATAATTCAATCTCTTTTCCACTCAACTGTCTTGCAGAGTCTCAAAGGATTAATATGTTATTATGTTTTTAAACAGCTCTTTTATCTCCCTCCAGTTCTTTTTTTTGGGCTAAGCTATTCTGCCCTACCTTAGGTTTCTGACGTTGCACTTAATTTCCAAGCCAAGAAAACAGGTGACCCCTTCCCAAAGTATTAGAAATGGAAGTCTGTGAGAAAGCCTTCAGTCCATTGGATCTCATCCTACCAGGACACCCATCCTATCATCTTCACTTAACAGCATCAAACTCTTCCTTAAATGAGTCCAATTTCCTGGCCTCAGTTATCTTTGAGACGCTATCCTGTGTGGAGGGCGCTATATAAGTGAAAGTTGTTGCTGTTGGATAGATCTTTCAAAGAGCTGGCACAGGCACGATGGATCAAATGGCCTCTTTCTCTGCTGTAGGATTCTATGATTCTACGATCTTCCCTGGTAACTAGTTTAGGCTGCTGATTACCTTTTGTGTAAAATTGCCAATAAATCCTGCAGATAAAATTGATCATTCCCTTTATGGCTGTTTGCAGGACATTGTTGTGTACAAATTGCCTTGTGTGTTCAACTACAAAAATACAGTCACTACACTTTACAGTAACTTTGTGAAAAGTTTTGAAATGACCTCCCAACGTAAAAGGTGCTACAATAAATAGTGGAGAGAGGAAAGTTTGCTGTTGAATAGCTATAATGGAATGAATGTATTGTTTGACAGTAATCTGGACAGGTGATAAGATACGTGAATGCAGCAGTCAATTTGTGCACAGCAGTGCCCCAAGGTAATTAAGTGAGTGACCAATTTTGGCTGGGAGATTGTTGGCCAAGACACTGAGAGAAACTCATTTCTCTTTTCGAATAGAGTCATGGATGTTTTAGGTCCACCTGAACAGGCAAACGGGACCTCAGTTTAAGATCTTATCCGAAGGATGGAACCTCTGGCAATGCAGCACGCCCCCAGCACTGCTACTGAGCGTGCTACCAACTGAGTCAGGCTGACATAATAATAATAATAATTAGATAGCATAAAATTAGATAATAAATAACATCTAACTATACAGGCTGATCCCCAACACTAGAACTCCAAACAACTTTGAACTGTTCAGAGGTCAATCTCTTGTCACTTGTTAGAGCTTTAATAAGATTCAGTCTAAGAGTATTTGAATCCTCTTGTAGATGAGTTATGTTATTCCTCTTTGGTTCACATTTGTCATCATTGTCACAGTAGATTTGATAACTCACCAGGCAATGATAAATGTAGGAATAACACAGACTGTCTATAAGGCTGGAGCGCATTGGGGTACATTTATCAGCAAACCATTATCAGCATGGTTTGCTGATAAATGTTTTCTAATATACGGATAGTGCAAATCAGATCAGCATCAGTACTATCACAGTTACACGAAGAGCTGTTTACTTACTGTCAACATCCTGCTGTCAGCCAGCTCTTCAACCGTGTCAATAACCTTAAGCATGGCAGGCTGCAGTACCACACAAAGCAAAGTCCCACAAACAATCATGCAGTGAATGATCAATTTTATATAGGGATTGTTGGCCAGGACTTTTCATTTCCTTTTTGAAATAATGCCAAGGGACCCTTAATGTCCACCTAAACAGGCAGGTGGGATAATATCACTCTCACTTCTGGGCTGTGACTATTTGGAGGAGCAGACCAGGCACTGGGGTAAGAAATCATCCCATCAGCTCCTGTTAACCCAAAGCCCTAACAGGTTGGGTGGTCCTAACTGGACAAGCAGTGGAAAGCTTGTCAGACAGAACTCAATGTAGCTCCTCACCCCCATTCCTTGGCTCTTCATTCTAGACACAGACATGTCCATGTGCAGATGGTGAACATATGTGGAATTCTCAGTCTAATTTGGACACTCTTAAGCATGGTGGTGGGATTCCGCATGTGTCAGACACCTGGGTGATATATGAAAAAAAATTGCCTACCTGCATTTGAACATGTCCAAAAAAACAATAATAAATTGGTCATTTTCAATCTACGACTGTTTGTGGGACATTGCTGTGCGCAATTGGCTGCCGCGTTCGCCCACAAATATACAATCAATTCACTTTACAGTGTGTTCTGTGAAGTGCTTTGGGACGTCCTCCCGACGTGAAAAGCGCTATATCAAAGGCAAGGATTATTATTATTATTATAGAGAAATTAGCTCATTGGGTCTAAAAGATTTTATTCTTATTGTTTATTTAGATGGGCTTCATTTTGATTTATATATGCGTCATTCATCCTGGTTCTTTGCTCTGCCAAGGGTAGACACATGTTTGCCCGGACTCTATTGCTCTTTAAGCGCTCTGAGACGCCGTCCAGCATGGAGGGCGCTACACAAATCCAAGTTGTTGTTGTTATGTCCAAGGATCTGAAGAATAGCAGCTAATGGATCCTATACAAAGATCAAAAAACTAAATGAGATCAATATAAATGGGTCAACAATTAAATATTTATCCACAGTACCTTTGTTGGATCTTCAAGTTAGAATAAATTCGAACACTCTGTGGTAGACTACTTCATACAGAATTAATTGCTATCAATATCTCCGTTGTTGTAACATGTGACTACCAGGATGGTAGAATGCGAACAAGATGGACCTTGGTCTTTTTTCATCTAGCAATTCCTATGTTCCTGTGTAAAAACCTGCTACAAAGAACAGAAGGAAATAGCTTAGTTCAGTTGGTAGCGCTCTCACCTGAATCAGACGGCTGTAGGTTCAAGCTCGGGATAAGCTGCAATGTCGAAGGTGCCGTCATTCAGATGAGACATTAAACTGAGTTCCCGTCTGCTAGTCCAGAAGGATGTTAAAGGTCCCATAACCTATTTGAAAAGAGAATTCCCCTGATAAAATTGATCATTCACTGCATGACTGTTTGTGGGACTTCGCTTTGTGCAAATTGGCTGCCTCCCAAAAATATACAGTCACAAAACTGTACAATTATATCCTGTGAAGCATTTTGGGACATCTAGGTGACATGATAAGATGCTATATCAAATGAAAGGATTATTATTATTATTAGTCACTTAAAAACAGTGGAGGACTGCAGTTCTGTGGCACTGTAGCCTGTCATGCTTAAGGTTATTAATAATAATAATAATCCTTGTTTTTGATATAGCCCATTATCATGACTTCGAGACATCTCAAAGCTCTTCACAAAATATACTGTAAAGTGAATTGACTGTATACTTTTGGGGAGAAACAACATGAATTGACA